TGAAGGAACTCTCATGTTACTTATATTTCAAATCATACCATGAGTTTATTTATTTTCCACGTAGGGTCTGTTTATTTTAATATAATTCATATGATGTAAAGATTGGATAAAAATGAGGATAGTAATTTAATCTATCGTCAAAAGCAGGAATTATTTGTTCTAGATATAATGATAAATACCATTTGTTTCTGATATTTTAGTTAAATGCACGATGTTTAGTTAGTTATTTAAACTATATATCCTTTGTCTCGATCTTTTGCATCATATTTCAGTTGTAGTTTTGACTTTTTAAAGTTACAATAATAAACGATGTTAGTAGGGCAATAAAAAGTTACAACTATATATGAGTTTTGCATCAAAAACATTTTGTGTCATCTAATGAAAGAGAAGTAACACGGAAATAATAGATTAAGACATTGAAACTTGCACTATAAAGGTCAAGATTCAATTTTCTTATTAAATCTGATTTATAGTTCTTTAGACATTGCATAATCGTCATTTATTAACACGCAATAAAAGCGTCACGAACTACTGATGAACGAAAGCCAGCAGTCGATTAAAATGTAATTAACTGAATTGTACGACAACAGAACAAAACATTCATTCTGTTATTATAAGAAATATGAAATGGACTTCATATTTAAATGTTACACCTCTGATTTCGATTAATAAAATCACAATTCATTATTAAAGCGTCACGAACTACTGATGAACGAAAGCCAGCAGTCGATTAAAATGTAATTAACTGAATTGTACGACAACAGAACAAAACATTCATTCTGTTATTATAAGAAATATGAAATGGACTTCATATTAAATGTTACACCTCTGATTTCGATTACTAAAATCACAATTCCTTATTTCTTGTATAACAAGTGAAACGTTATAAAACAGTTGTCTATGGGGTTTTGAGCCCCTTTTTCTTAATCCTATAGTAACCTAAATTAATTTGGTGAAACAGGAAATAAATTTTTAACACATATGTAATCACAGATAGTTTTGGGTACTTAAGACACGTGAAGTAAGCAGCCAGTGAAAGTAACTGAGCTTGTTTGGATTTCGAATGAAAGAACGTTGATTATTAGGTTTATGCTTTCATTTGAAAACAACAACAAACAAACAACCCCTTTTTGTTTGATTAAACACCAATTGAGCTTTCGTGTAATATGTAAAAAATAGTTTTATGGGGAAAGACTGCTTAGTTAAATAAGTGTGAAAGTGTGAAGTAACAAAAATCGTACTAAAATTGTCACAAAATAAGGAAAACTTTATAAGTTCCTACTAATCTTTTTTATTAACTTGAATCGGTTTCATAATAGGTTCATAGAACTAAATGATTTTCTTAGGTTCTTAGCTCAAACATTTCTTTTGCATACAGAAGATAGAAATAATAGAACAATAGATTGTTCATTTGGCAAATAATGTTTATCAGAGTATATAAAATATATATGCCATAGATGGCAGAATAACAAAACATAATGCCATTAATGAATATAAACCTTCATGATTAATAGTCGACAACGTTTTCGTTAACCTTCTTTATATAAATGTTCAGCTTTCAAAGATAACTTTAGCTTTTATTTTATTTCCAAAATCAGTTCAAGATTTTCTAGAAGAACGTTTGAAAAGTTAGATATAACTTATTAGTTTGAAAACTTAGATATAACTTATTAGTTTGAAAACTTAGATATAACTTATTAGTTTGAAAACTTAGATATAACTTATTAGTTTGAAAACTTAGATATAACTTATTAGTTTGAAAAGTTAGATATAACTTATTAGTTTGAAAAGTTAGATATAACTTATTAGTTTGAAAAGTTAGATATAACTTATTAGTTTGAAAACTTAGATATAACTTATTAGTTTGAAAACTTAGATATAACTTATTTGTTTGAAAACTTAGATATAACTTATTAGTTTGAAAACTAAAAGCACTTGACTAAGAAATTGGATTTAAGAAAATACAAGCACATCTATATTAAGAATAACCTGTTAAAATGAATGGTTAAGAAAGTTATGAAATGCGATGTTTATGTACAAAGCTGTTTTTTTTTCATTTAATTTTATACGTTTTCTTTCAAAATAACTTTTAAATCCTACAAATTATATTCATCATCTTTGATACTGAAGGACGGATCTGACGGTTATAGTGTAGGGATGCGAATCAAAGATTAACGGTTCCAGACGTTTCGCTCTTTACTTTCATCTGTGGATGCAGGATAAAAATTATAGTTAATCACCTTGACTTGATTCAAAGAGTTTAACAAAGCACTTGTGGCAGCGAGTTCTGCTGACTGGTTGAATTTCCTCTCGTCAGTAATTCAAAAAAATAAAGATATAGCTATACCAGAACCCTGGTGGTCTGAGATTTTTCAGTTAAGCCTATGTGCGCTTAAGATGCCAACCAGGTTGAAATATCTATTTCCATAATATTAACAACTGTTTTTAGATTTTTCCCTTGATGAAACGATTTTTAGAATGAAATGTGGGTGCGCTGGACAGATATACACTATTTAATAATTTACCAAAACCTAATCAGCTGGAAAGATGTATCATCGGTTTTAGATTATGTACGTCTTTAGAAATTCAGTTAACTCTGTCTTGGAAGCTAATCAGTGTAGAGATGAACAAAAAATCTTAATAGTAAGTACCAAAAAGGCGTGAATATATCTACGTAGCTATTTAGCTATTCTTAAAACTGTTAGATATACACAACTCTTTCATTTAATTGTAATACAAGAGCTATGATTTAGATAGCTATAAAACGGGAGTGTTAAATTTAGTCTTTTTAGGAGCGATAGTTATGGCAAATGTGCTTACGTTATGAATTGACTTCGTGTTACTCGAACCTTCTGAATTTTTCTCGTTCCTTTAAGTGAGTATTATTACGTCATAAGTCTCATAGTTTGTAGAGAGTTCTAGATCTCAGTCAGACAATATATATATATATATAGGAGACCAACTTAGTGCAAGAAAGTACGTTAATGAAAATGACTAGGAAATTAATGAAAGTAAAAGTAAAAAAAGTAAAGTTAGACTGCATGTGAGTTTGACCGTAAATGGCAATTTTTAAAGTGAGTTTCACAGCTTGTATTGAATAACAGGAAGAGAAAAAAAATGTCGTGTCATAGGGTGTTCTAAAGTGACTGAACCCGTCTGTGTGGACTTTGGCGAAAAGGAGACAGTTATTTAAAGCTCTGAATACAACTGTGGTAACTAACAGTTATAGGGGTGATTGTAAAGTGAGTATCACAGTCTTGTATTGTATTAACAGAGTAGATGAGAATAATTTACCTTAAAGGGTGTTATACAGTAAACTGAACTCACCTGTGTGGACTCTGATGAAGAAGAGACAATTATTTAAAGTTCTGGATACAGCTGTGATAACCAATAGTGTAACGAATTTTTTTACATACATTTGATTTGTTTTGATTACATTATTTGATAGTTTGTATTTACCGCCAGACACCTACCATAAAGAATCCGGTTCTCAGAAAACTGACAAAAACGTGCACTGCAAAATTCACAAGGAACGCAGATAAAAATAAATACCAAAAATGTCTGTTGGTGACAACAAAACTATTGTAAAATATTGAAAGATTTCAAGATATAAACGTTGTATTAATAATAAAAAATATTTGTTTTAGATAATGAAAGAAGATTTATAAACTAAGGACCTATATAATATCTCTAAGATTTTTTGGGCCACAATTATTCACACATTTTTCAGTTTGCAAGATAAATAAAATGATTAAATTCGATGATGAAGAACCCACTTTGAGACTTATAATGACTGGAGACGGCTTGAATGGGTAATGAAGAAAAACTTTAATATAAGTTTAACATAACAGCAAATGTACAACGTTTCGACAAGGTTTTGTACCTGATGATGACAAAACCTTGTCGAAACGTTGT